AAAAAAAAAAAAGAAAATCCAGAAGTACTCAAATGCATGTGGAAATTTAGTGTATGATAAAAGGGGCACCTCAAAACAGTGAGGAAAATGTAAACTAGCTAGTATAACTATAGAGCCATATAGCAAAAGATAAAATGGAAGTCATTTCTCACACCATACACTAGGATGAAGTACTGTACTATTCATCTAATACTACATAAGTACTAGAAGATACACAGGTGAATTCCCCCATAACTTGAGAATATTTCCTATCCATGAATCAAAATCCAGAAGCAATAAAGGAAAACAATTATAAATTTGATAAACTTTAACATGGATAAAAAAAACCCCACAACACTATTAGCAACATAAAAAAAAATTATAAACTGAAAAACTGCAATTTGTAATTTAAACTATTTAAAATATTGCCAATAAAGAACTTGTAAAACTAGAGTAAAAGACTAACAACCTTACAGAAAAATGGGCAAAATATAAACAATTCAAGAACAAGAAATAAAATGGCTCTTAAACATATTAAAAGATGCTCATAATTAGAGAAATTCTTACTCATAAAGATATGCCAACTAGAACTACACTGAAATACTATCTTACCTATCAGATTTGCAAAGAGTCAAAAGTTTGATGCCACAGCCAGCTTATGAGACTGTCTGCCCTTCCTACATTGTTCGTGGGATGCAAAAAGGCACACCACCAAAGGAGAGGAATTGGGCAAAAGTACATATACATTTACCTTTGACCAACCAATCCCACTTCTATTCTATTCCAAATATACGCTGGCAGAAAGACAAAATGACCCAAGCACAGAGAGAAAGAGTTGGGGGCAGGACAGAGAGAATCTCAAGCAAACTCCTTGCTGAGCATGGAGCCCAATGTAGGGCTCGATTGCATGACCCTCAGACCATGACCTGAGCCAAAACTAAGAGTTTGGCTTAACCGACTGAGCCAAGTAGTCACCCCATGCAGCACTATTTTTTTAATAGCGAAAAGCTGGACACGGCTTATATGTCATCAATAGAGGGCTAATGGAAGGAACTGCCATCCTGCCACTCAGTAGTGCCCAGGACAACTGTCAGACAGTGGTCTCCCCAGCCAAATGGTTAGGTGGGAACAACAAAGTACATTATAGGACTATGTGTGGTATAGGACCTTTACCTAAGGAAGGGGGTAGAATACACAAGCAGAATGTTATTTGCATATACATATATTTTATTTTTAATGGAAGAAGTGGGGGGCAGGGAAGGGGAAAAAAATAAAATGGAAGGATAATCCAAAACTTACATAAATGGTTACCAGTGGAGGAGAGCAGGAAAAGAGGGAAGAGCAGACATAGAGGCTAGGCTTCTCTGAGTATATGCTGTTTTTGTAGTTTTCACTTTGGAGCCATAAAAGTGTTTTGTATTAATATAAATTAGGTTTTTTAAAAAAATTTTTTTAAGATTTTATTTATTTAAGAGAGAGAGCACCCAAGTCGGGGGAGGGGAGAGGGATCGAGATGCTGGTCTTGATCCAGGACCCCGGGATCATGATCTGAGCCGAAGGCAGACACATAACTGGGTCACCCAGGTGCCCCAAATTAGGTTTCTTTACCGCGATCTCTAGGGGTGCCTGGGTGGCTCAGTCAGTTAAGCGTCTGCCTTCAGCTCGGGGTCCTGGGATCAAGCCTTGAATCGGGCTCAGTCTGCTTCTCCCTCTGCCCTCTTCCTTGTGCTGTCTCAAATAAACAAAATATATATTTTTTTAATAATTAGAGATAGTCTTTCTTTTTTTTAAGATTTTATTTATTGGAGCGCCTGGGTGGCTCATTCGGTTAAGCGGCTGCCTTCGGCTTAGGTCATGATCCCGGGGTCCTGGGATCGAGCCCCACGTCCAGCTCCCTGCTCAGCGGAGAGCCTGCTTCTCCCTCTCCCTCTGCCTCCCACTCTGCCTACTTGTGCTCTCTATCTGTCAAATAAA